GATAGCTCTGTTAAAATTATAAATTTATGAAGACAAAAATCAGGTGATACTATACACAAATTATAAATTTGAAGTATTAGAGAAAGAAAGCACTTCTTATTTTTCCTTAGCGTGCCTTTAGTGTTGTTAACAATGGTGTTCAAGCTTTAAGGGAAAATTTTAATTTTTTACCTTTTTATTATGAAATCTAACACATGGAAAAAATAAGACATAAATGTACAATATAATGAATGTTTGCACAGAAAATCTGTCTAGAAACAATTGAGGCCATACCGTAGAAATCTGCCACCATGTACAATATAATGAATGTTTGCATAGAAAACCTGTCTAGAAACAATTGAGGCCATAACGTAGAAATCTGCCACCCTTTAACACTCTGCCTATGTCCCAGCCACTCACACTCCTTCCCATCCACAAATCAGCACTAGTCTTCTTCTGTGTCATGGTGATAATTTCCTTGGATTGCACTATAGTTTTAGCTTTTAGCATTCACAAATAAATCTCTATAAAACAGAGTTTAGCTATGCCTAAATTACATGGATTCCATTGTCCTTAGCTTCTTTTCCACAAGTTATATTTATAAAATATATTCATGTGGTTGTAATTCCCATTCACCAATTATAGCCGTTCCATTGTATGAATACATCACTGTTTATTTGTACATTTTACTATGAATAGACATTTAGGTTGTCTCTAGTTTGGAACTATGAGAAAATATGCTGAGAGGAAATTTCCCTGAGAGTCAAATGCTAGATCATAGAGTATGTGCATCGTCATGTTTACAATAATACCAAACTGCTGCCCAAGGGGCAAGATTTATACTCACTCAGGCAGTGTATGCTGCTCCGAGACTCCACATTTTTTTGAACACCTAGTGTATTGAGACTATTTATTTTTTGCCCACCTGATAGTTGCATAGTAGGAGCTCATTTTGTTTTTAATTTACATTTCCCTGATTACAAAAAGGTTGAACATATTTTCATGGATCCATTGACCATTTGGAATTACTCTTTTGTGAATTACTTGTTAAAATCTTTTCCCATTTTTCAAAATTGTTTTGTCTTTTTAAAAAATGTTTTCTATGGGTTCTTTATATATCCTAGTCTTTTGTTGGTTATATCCATTATAAATAATTTTCCCATTCTGTAGATTATCTTTTCTCTCTTTGCAGTGTCTTTTGATAAACATAAGCACTCAAGTTTTATGTAGACAAAAATGTTTTTTATTAAAGTTAGTGATTTTTGTGTGTTTTTCTGGAAATCTTTTTCTGATACTGAAGACACGATATTTTCTTGTTATATTCTAAAACATTTACAGTTCTTTATGTATATATGTCTGTAATACATCTGGAAGTGAATTTTTAGCGGGGTCCAATCTTAATTTTTTCTATATGGCTTTATATGCCAGTGTTACCTGACAATTTTTGTTTTATGTATTTCAGACCTATGTTAAATCCTCACAGATTTAGAAATATTTTATTTTCACCTTTTCTTGTTAGACTTACCCTTTCATCATTACTTAATGCCTCTCTGTATAACTAGTAAGACTTCTTGCCTTAAAGTCTGCTTTGTTGACAGCACATTTTTTTGGTCCTTAGATGTAAAACTAAAACAAGAGTTCATGGTTGCATGTCTGAGCAGGATAAATTTTTAGAGTCTAAAATACCTTATTAAAAACAACTGTATCTACTGAACAATTCACTTTCACTGTAAAATTAAATTACAAAAGTACACTTTATTAATAAAATTATCTCAAGATGTTTAACCTATAACCTAATTATTTCTAACTACTAACACAGACACTATATCATCATGAAAGAGCTCCTTGCTTAAGTTTCCTGGGACTCCCCAAAGCTTTGGATGTGCAACAGAAAACCTTACTTATAAAGAAAGCAACAGAAAACAACAGTGCTGCATAAACTATTAGTGAGCTATACATTCATCCATAACAGTCAATGAAAAACAGTCTGCTGCCTCATTAGGAGGAAAGGCGTCCTATCTAGGTATCACTTTATCAACACCAATACTCAAGAGACTCAAACTTTCATGTCCATCAAATCACCTAGGATGCTTATAAACGTAAATGTGTGGCTCCCACACCTTGGATATATTTTTGAGAAGGTCTTCAGGTAACTTTGAGACAGTGCCATAGTTTAAAGAGGAAGAAGAAGGAGGAGTGGGATATTATGTCAAAAAAAGAATGTCATTTGATGAGCTTAAATAGGAATAAAATAAAAAGGAAAGCAAAATACATAGTCTTACAGAAATAATAGAAACTACAGAAATTACACAGTAAAACATATTTTAGAATCTGTGTTTTAAAAAATTCTATCAGAAACAATATAATATTCTAGCTGGTCTTTGGTTGTAGTATCTTTATGATATAATTTATGAAATTATGAGGCATCTATAATTCACAAATTAGAACTTTTTCATTATTCAGTATCAAAATGATTGACAAAATGATGCATATAGTAAGAATGATAATGTGTAAAGAAGTACTTTCAGTGAAAATCAATTTAAAATGCTAAATTAACTAGAAATGAGAAAAATAATACAGGTAGAAATGTTAAGTCTCTAGGTTTATAAGCAAACGATCTTTATCTGTGATCTAGACATAAAGATTAAATGAGTAAAGATATCCAAAAAACAAGAAAACATCACCGTTTACTTTACCAACTGCTGAGAAAGTAAATAAACTTCCCTCACATAATAGACATGCTTATTCAATCTTTGCTGAACATAAACTTGGTGTGTTTTCATTTTGGAAGTTAAGTCACTTTACAAAGTATCTCATATGTTTTATGTGCTTCTATCTAGTATTCCATTTCACACTTGAATGGGTAAGTTCATTTAATATGTTAATTTTGTCTTATAACTATTGTTATATTTTATAGTGCCTACCAATTTGGAGAATGATATAAATGTTTTTTGGGTAGTATGTGCTCTTTAAAATTTTTAAAGTAATAGCCTTCTGTAATATAGACTGTATTAATCACTGTAAAAATTCTGTAAAAATGACTGTATATGATGGGGACCTGAAGGTCACATTATATTTAATGAGTTCTGTGCAAAAAAGGAGCTCAGTCTCGCTTAAGTAATCGAACAGAGATGATAATAGCATAAAGGTAATTCTAAATTAAAATATTTATTTACCATAGAACAACACAAAATGAGATACAGCAAATCATTACTTGATAAGTGTACTGAGCAATGATAATGATCCCATAAAATTCAAAAAATAAATGTTATTTCTCTCCTCTACGCAAAGATATGACTCTTATTGCCACATTAAATTTGAACTCTCCCACTTTGCCTTCAAAGCCTGTCATTCCCCACAGCTCTTCTGATACTAATCCTCTAGTCCCAGTCAAGCAAAATTCCCCCAGAAATCTGACACTCAGTCATGCCCTTGCTTGGGTGGTACTTGCTAAGCCTGTATCTTCAAAGTCTTATCTCAAGTCTCAAATCACTCAGAAAGCCTTTTTTTCAATTATATTAATCCTATATAGAGATTCATCCTATCTCTAACTTAGTTTGCTTTATATAATCTCCTTTCCGTTCTCTTCCCTGTAGTTTGGTGATCTCTTGTTCTCTAATTGTTTCCTGGATGCATCTCCTGTATCTCTAAGCTCTGTGGGCCAAGACATATATTTGGGAGAGCAAAGCAGTATTTCAGGGGCAGAAAATATTTTGGAGATTTATACAACAGTTTCATTATATACTTCCCATGGTGTTTGTTGTCAGGAGTAAAAGAGTTGCTTAATGAACTTGATCAAATAGTACAGCATATAATAATGCTGAATGTTATAATTACATGGTAAAATTAGAGTACCTGAAAATTGGGTTTATCTGAACTTTTATACATGCAAAAAAACTCCAATGATGAAATTATTATTCATAATAATTTCATTATGATGAAACCTATCATTTCAACTGAAAGAGCTATGTTTATTTCAAAATTCTTAGAATTAATAAGATGCAACTATTTAAATTTTTAAGTTTGTCTTAAGGCTTTATTGACAGGCAATATAAATGCATTTAATAGACAGCTAAACTACTAAGTTTTGGTTTCACTGTTTGGCATCACCAGGCTTTTCTTCATCATTTTCTGTGCTCTAGCGTGATATGCGTAATCACAGATTATCAAAACAGTCACAAGGTTGGCATTTGTAAGTGATTTATTTGTTAAATTTGTATTGTATTTCCTGAGATAAATTTTCAGTACATTTTGTCAAATTTCATATCCTTAAACAAAACCAATATTATGAAAAAGTAAAGCAAAATCTAACCAAGTTAAATCAAAGCAAAAATAATATTTAGTGTTCTACCATATGAAAAGGTTTTTAATCTAACATAAGATAGTAGAAAAGAGGGAAGAACAGAGAAGACTCAAACAATGGCACTAATGTAGTGATATTTATGTTGGGAAGTCTTTCAAGACTGAAGGTTAATTGGCTCACTCCACAGCTGCAGATGGAAATTCTGAGACTGTGAATCCACGTCCTCATCCTAAACAGCCGCTATAGACGGTCCTATAATGAGCACAAAGATGGGGAAGCCAGATAGATGCTCAGATCCTTTAGTGCTAGGATCAACGGTCAGAAGGAACAACTGGTAATAAAGCAACTCATATACTTACTTTTAAAAAAAGTGAAAAAGTTACCTAATCCAGACTATACAAATGTAAACTCTTCAAAAATTGATTCTAAAAGAAATATATTTTGGCTGTTAAGTAACTCTAGGTGTCTCATAACTAGTATTTGTGCTTCCTCCCAGACAACTGCCTAACACCCCAACCCCTCTTTACTCTAGTAGTAAAACAAGGCCAGAATTAAGTTGGCCTTTTTCTTTTAAATCTTCAGATTGACATAGTCTTTTCAAACACACTATTTCAAACCTAAATGATAGTAAAAATAAGTGATAGACATTCACTTAGGCATAATGAAGACAAGTGAATTTTCATACATATAAACCATAAAATCATAGTTCATTACATACCACAGCACTCAGGACATTTTGGGTGTTTCAGGGTATTCACTCCATACCCTGGGAAGCAGCGATTAATCCAAACCATTTGGAGAGTACCCTCAATGTAGTATATCTCAGGCAACGGCTCTGCACGTCTGCCCAGAACTTCCACTTGTTGATTAAAAAATCTCTCTATGAGAATTTTAGCCTAAAATAGAAATAAAGTATGAAAAAATTATCACATAAATGTAATTTTAGAACAAATAAGCATGCTTATGTATTTAGAAGCAGGGGAAACAAATTCTCAAGGTCCTTATTTTTTCTTGAATTCATAGGATATAAATAACACCTGTAAAACTGAAAAGATATCACCTATAAACCTCAAATATTTCTAAAAGTACTTCCATATACAACACAAAGAAAATATTTCAATATATAACCAAACTTTTTGGTCCCTTTGGTTTTTAATAATATATGGATGGGCATAAGAGCAAAACAAGACAGCTCTCTGAAATTAAATGTACTTTCAGAAGGGTACTCTAACAATTAAATGTTCTTAAAGAAATGTACTTTAAGAATCTTTAAGAAGCATATCCTGAGACATCTGCTCCACTCTTTACATAAAGAAAAATTAGGTTTAAAGATAGCATGCAGCACATGTTAGAACTTATAGCTCTGTTTCAAAAATCAAATTTACAAAATAATTAAGGCATAATTCTGACCTATAATTAATTACCTTTTTACTTGTAGTAATTATTCTGGCTTGACTCCGAAAAGTAACAAGAGGCTTATACTTTTCAGTGGCTGGTAAGCCTTACCTGGTAAAGCATGAGGTATGGTCATGAGTTCACACCCTCTACAAGCTAGTTAGTTCTGCTCCGTTCTCCTATGCTCACCTGCACCTCTCATGTAGTCAGAAGCAGGGGTAAATGAAATCGTGCTCATCTATAACCACGAATGGTGCATCTCAATCTACTGACTTCTCCAGGTACCTTACAAATTACATCCCTCTGATGAAAATTTCTATAAATAATTGTAAAAGTGTTTTTCAATATACTGCATTCAACTCATTCTATTACTGAATTACTATATTTTTACAGTCTAAATGGTTTTCTTGTACTTCTAATAAATTCTGTCAAATTTGCTGCTATTTACAATTTTGGTTAAGGAAGTGCTTATGAATTAATTAGCTACAAATCTGGTATCCAATTAACTATATTTAAATGCAAGACTACAAATAAAAGTATCAGGAGACATGATCATAATCACTTGGCTTCCTGACACCCTATGCAGGAAAAAGAAAAAAAACAAAACAAAACAATGAAACTATACCTCGCAAAACCTGACAAGAACAAAAATTATCATGTAAATCAGATTCTTCTTTCTTGTTTTCTTTCTAAGAAGGAGAATGAGGATAAATCTCTTATTTGATAAAAATGGAAAGAAGGCAAGAAATTATTTGAATCATTGACTAAATTTTTTTTTTAAATAATGAGTATGTTGATGGTTGACATGGGGTTAATTATTTGTACCAAAGAAAGTGTGAAACTGAAGAATTCTCTGAATTGGGTAAAGATTAAAGATTTTAAAGTAAAAATTTTTGGACAAATTTGGATGACATAAGAACAAATCATAATTATAGAAATTCTTCATAGATTAATCACCTGAATCACCTTAATCACAAAGAATTAATACAACTGAATAAACATCAGATTGCCTGGCCCAAGCTACTCCTTCCTTCACCCACCCATCCCCAAATTTTATAGACTTATTAAGCATATATGAAAGGAATATGTTCTATAATTATTGGTTATTGATTACAAGACTAGAACAAGAAATCATTACCACTTCAACAATAAGCAGTTTGTAAACTATATAAACTTCTGCGTGGAGAAGCTGAACAGCTTACTTTAAATACCATAACCTGCTCAACAGATCATGCCACATTAGGTACTGAAAAAGGCAACTAGAAAGGCTTAATATGTGCTCTACATTAGTCCAGTAAGCAATGAGAGTCCTAGGATAGGCAAAAAAATGGCATACATTATACACAACCAGAGATGAATTGGAGCTCCAGTATCCATGAGGGGAGAATTCATTATGTACCAGGTGTTATGGACAATACACTTTTAAGATGGAGTCTGTTGGAAAACTTTGGTTAACAGCTATATTTGGGGAATCTCTTTGGAAAATGACTATAGTCATCAAATGGGGCTGGAATTAAAAAGCAAAAAACAAAACCCCAAAAAACAAAAAAGGAGAGGCTTACAGTATCTTGGATGAAATGGAAAGAATTGTGAATTTGCATAGAAAAGACTGGTGATCTCAGTGCTCAGTGAGCAAATGAGAGGTAGGGTGTCCAGATCTTACAGGAAAATGTCCCAATGAAGAACTGTCAAAAAAGTTTAAAACAAAAACACAAAGTTGTCCTTCTCGTGGTAGGAACATCAGCATGGATGATGTACACTCACTCATATCAGTAAAACAGGCAGAGCACTATGAGATAAAGCTCAATTTCAAAGCAGCGCCAAAGGGAAGAGGAAGAAAGTAAAGAGTTATATAATAGTTTGAATTCTATGAAAGTTGGAATCCACTGCTAAGAAGAATAATGAATCCCAGAACTTTAGAATAAAGAAAAATTTAACTTTGCAATGTAGTCTACTTCAGTCCTGAAGCAAAAGACAAAAGAATCGATTCTTCACTCAGCATTGTCACTGAAATGGTAGTTGCTCCACAAGAAATGAAACCTGTATTAGAAAACCAGAATTTTTAGAAGAAAGAGTAAAGATAAATTATAATTTAGCTTTTGAAATTATTAGAGATTTAAACTGTCACATTAAACTTCTTTAAAGTAGTATATTTCTAATTGAAAAAAGCAAGCAGATAAGATAGGAGTGAGAGGAGAGAAATGACATTTAAAAATACAGAAAAAGATTTCACATTTCCAAACATTTGGTGCACTAGATAGTCTGAAAAATCACCCTGCTAAAAATCACCTAACTGAACATAACGCAGCAGATATTGTGTACCTATATTTCAACAATAAGAGAGGAAGAAAAAAGTAGAAAGGAAAAAAGGAAGACAGGGAAAGACAGAAAGAAAGAGAAAAAGTTGCTAAAAACGAAAATTAAAAACCTAATATTAGCTGAGTCCCTATTTCATTTCATGTCAATCTGAGTATTCCAGAGTGTTATAATTTAACAAACAAAAGAGCTAAGGAAAAAAGGCTTAAAGCTGTTAAAAACAAACAAAATAAACAACCAAGAAAGACTCTAAGTAAAACAGTGGAACAGGAAAAGAAATTCAATTACAAAAGGGAAATAACAAGAAAGACTCTCAATAGGGTAGGGAGGGGCAGCAGGAGGGGGTGATGGAGTGGAGGGATGGGGGAAAGCAAAACTCCTCAGTGAATTCCTACATGATGGTTTGCTTTCAAAGTGGGTGTGGGGTTTTGTTGTATTTTCTGTGTGGTACAAGATCCCCAAGTCAGAAATTAACATAAAAATTTGGCTTTGATTGAGAACAACCATGGAACATTAGGCAAAAGCAAACATAGTAACTTTACAGAAAAACACACACAACCTAAGCCAAAGGGGCTACATCTACTGATACAGGACTGACAAACATGTCTTATCAGCCAGAATTATGAAGCAGAGGATGAACTAAGAAACAACGGTGGGGTCAACAAACTGCCAAATTAGACCATCAAGAAATTCAGATAATGGAGCTCCAGTGACCTAAAATAGCAAAAAATGATATGAAGTATCCTTAGGACACATGAAGACATAAAAGTGGTATGAAAACACAGGAAAGGAAATTTATATCACAATAAAAGAGAAAGTATATTTGAAAAATTACCTACTTAAATTACAATTAATGAAGGCAGTAAAAAATGTAGTGAAATTAAAAACTCAGTGGACAGACTGAACATCAGATTAGGCCCTGCTGGAGCCAGAACAATTAAATGCAATAAATAATTGAAGAAATTACTCAGAATGGGCTTCCCTGGTGGCACAGTGGTTGAGAGTCCGCCTGCCGACGCAGGGGACGTGGGTTCATGCCCCGGTCTGGGAAGATCCCACATGCCACTGATCGGCTAGACCTGTGAGCCATGGCTGCTGAGCTTGTGCGTCCAGAGCCTGTGCTCTGCAGCGGGAGAGGCCACAACAGTGAGAGGCCCGTGTACCGCAAAAAAAAAAAAAAAAAAAAAATTACTCAGAATGAAGAACATATTTAAAAAAAGAAAAAAAAGTAAGAGAGAGGTGGAGAAATACATGAGATAACCTGAAACATACTAAATGGGAGTTCAAGAGAAGCAAATGGGGCAACAGGTACTTTTCAAAGGTGTTCTGGCAGAAAAAATTTCCAGAACTGATCAAAGTAATGAATCCTCAGATTTCAGTGGAACAATAAATATAGGAAGACGGAAAAATACATAAGGAAAGACTAAGAGGCAAGAAGAAATTGTAAGCAAAGAAATGGATAAAACTGTGGGTAAATCTAAACAGACACTGACATTCTGAAACAATCTTAATAATAAGTGAAAAATTTAAAAAAATACTAGAATACTAGAAAACAAAACCTTGAAAGATAAAAACAGGTCATAAGAGTTAAGGGTCTTTAAGGCTTTTGTACTTTTTTGGAAGGTACTATAAACTAAGTAAGTTTTGGTTCTGCTATGAAGAATATGTTAAAATTTGAAACAAATCCAGAAGAAGAGTGAAAAAAAATATAACAAGAAAAAAGTCAGTTAAAAAAAGTTTAATCAATCCAAAGAAGATAGGGAAGGAGCAAAACCAGAAGAATAGAAAACCAGGTTAAATGATATATAATAGAATGATAAAAACCCATCCACATAAAGTAGAAGTATGATTTGAAAATAATAAAGCAATGAACAAGACTATAAAACAGTATCATTCTTTAAAAGGCACAATCATCCAAAAGAAAGAATAAAAGGAAAAAGTTACAAGAGATGGGACAAATAGAAAAAAATGGTGGATTTAAATCCAAATCTTTGATAATTAAATTAAATGTAATTGGCCTAAATTTTCTAATTAAGAGGCAGGGATTATTAACTTGATTTGTTAGCTGGATTGTTAACTATATCCAAAAGGAATGCTGTCAGCCACACGGCAGAATAGGAGATTCCAGTCTTCACTGCACAAAAACACTGATTTGACAATGATTCAGGGATGAAAATACTTTCAA